GATAAAGGTTCTGTAACTCCTACATAAGCGTACTAAGTTACCACTAGAGGGGATAAAGGTTCTGTAACTCCTACATAAGCGAACTAACTTACCTCCAGAGGGATAAGGGTCTATAAGTAATCCATTTTGCGTTTAAATCAATTGATATCGTCCTTTGTTTCGGTTTGAAATTCTCCCTTCGGTACCCTCTCTAATCGTGCATACTCTAATTTACCTGCTTTATATGTTATGATACTTGTAATTCAGAGCGACAAGAATGTGTTATCTAGAGGGGATAAAGGTTATATACCTCCTACATAAGCGTACTATGTTACCTCAGAGGGATAAAGGTTATATAACTCCTTCATAAGCGTACTAAGTTTCCTCAGAGGGATAAAGGTTATATACCTCCTACATAAGTGTACTAAATTACCTCTAGTGGGGATAAAGGTTCTATAACTCCTTCATAAGCGTACTAAGTTCCCTCTAGTGGGGATAAAGTTTATATATCTCCTACATAAGCGTACAAAGTTACCTCTAGAGGGGATAATGGTTCTATAACTCCTACATATGCGTACTAAGTTACCTCTGAGGGATAAAGGTTATATAACTCTTGCATAAGTGTACTAAGTTACCCTCCTACATAAGCGTACTAACTTTCCCCCAGAGGGATAAAGTTCTATAAGTAATCCATTTTGCGTTTAAATCAATTGATATCGTCCTTTGTTTCGGTTTGAAATTCTCCCTTCGGTACCCTCTCTAATCGTGCATACTCTAATTTACCTGCTTTATATGTTATGATACTTGTAATTCAGAGCGACAAGAATGTGTTATCTAGAGGGGATAAAGGTTATATAACGCCTACATAAGCGTACTAACTTTCCCCCAGAGGGATAAAGTTCTATAAGTAATCCATTTTGCGTTTAAATCAATTGATATCGTTCTTTGTTTCGGTTTGAAATTCTCCCTTCGGTACCCTCTCTAATCGTGCATACTCTAATTTACCTGCTTTATATGTTATGATACTTGTAATTCAGAGCGACAAGAATGTGTTATCTAGAGGGGATAAAGGTTCTATAACTCCTTCATAAGCGTACTAAGTTCCCTCAGAGGGATAAAGGTTCTGTAACTCCTAAATAAGCGTACTAAGTTACCACTAGAGGGGATAAAGGTTATATACCTCCTACATAAGCGTACTATCTTACCTCCAGAGGAATAAGGTTCTATAAGTAATCCATTTTGCGTTTAAATCAATTGATATCGTTCTTTGTTTCGGTTTGAAATTCTCCCTTCGGTACCCTCTCTAATCGTGCATACTCTAATTTACCTGCTTTATATGTTATGATACTTGTAATTCAGAGCGACAAGAATGTGTTATCTAGAGGGGATAAAGGTTCTATAACAACTACATAAGCTTATAACTCCTACATAAGCGAACTAACTTACCTCCAGAGGGATAAAGGTTCTGTAACTCCTACATAAACGTACTAACTTACCTCAGAGGGATAAAGGTTATATACCTCCTACATAAGTGTACTAAGTTTCCTCTAGTGGGGATAAAGGTTATATACCTCCTACATAAGCGTACTATGTTACCTCAGAGGGATAAAGGTTATACAACTCCTACATAAGCGTCCTAACTTACCTCCAGAGGGATAAAGGTTCTGTAACTCCTAAATAAGCGTACTAAGTTACCACTAGAGGGGATAAAGGTTATATACCTCCTACATAAGCGTACTAACTTACCTCCAGAGGGATAAAGGTTCTATAACAACTACATAAGCGTATAACTCCTACATAAGCGTACTAACTTACCTCCAGAGGGATAAGGTTCTATAAGTAATCCATTTTGCGTTTAAATCAATTGATATCGTACTTTGTTTCGGTTTGAAATTCTCCCTTCGGTACCCTCTCTAATCGTGCATACTCTAATTTACCTGCTTTATATGTTATGATACTTGTAATTCAGAGCGACAAGAATGTGTTATGTCTAAAATCAGACTCATGACTGACAGTGCGGTCGGTCGACAGCTTGGTACTGTATATGTTTACTTCTCACTGTACGGCCAGGGTATTGAGCTATTTCGGTCGAGGCTTATCTGACCTCATTACTTAGTTTACGTACTCGATTTTTAGGGTGTCATTTGACAAAAATGCCTCTTTAATCAGGCAGCAAGAATTGCTCAGATTCCAATGGCTAGGTTAACTGAAGGAACAAAGGACATGAACTTACAATACATTAACCTATAAAACAAATGTGTAATGAGTTGCTCACGAAGAGTGCATGCATTCTGTTTTTTGTTGTCAGGATCTCTTATATGATGTAGAATTGGGGTTTTCTATCGTTTGCTATGACCAAACCTCTAACAGTGAGCCCCTCCCACTGCCTCCGCAGGAGCCACACCCTTAATTTATACACAGTTTATTCCCCTTGACCGAAGGATGATCTAGAACAAATTTGGTTAGAAAATCTTCACCGGTACTGAAGGAGTAGGATATGTAATTAATTTCCGTAACTGAACCCCGCACTTCCGCACGTCTGATCGACGGACGTCAGCTGACTTGGTCCTAATGGTCAGGTGTCGGCCCAGGTGAACTAACAAAACGTGCTGCAGGACAGAGGACAAAGTTTATTTTCAATTAAAAATAATGTCAGTATTTAACAAAACAGTAACAAATTCAACACATATTATACATGTAATAAAATATCGTAGGCTTAGCAACAAATACAACAAAGGTATATACGTAGTGAATGACAACAGAGCGTCGCTATGGCAATCCCTAAAGATGTACAGGTAAACAAGGAAAGTAAAGATGCATCAGGCAAGGGATGGTCCCTTAGTGTAACACGACACTTGTCTAACATGAAGGTATATATATAAATACTGGTACCAAACAGGACACGTCTGTATAAATGATGCTAAACAATGACAACTCCAGATATGAATATAATGGTCACCTAATACACCTACTATATATATAGTATTACAATAAGTAGGTATACCGGTAGCAGAGATGTATATACAAATGTGCAGGATTTAAAAGATAGCTTATAACTAAAACTAACTTATCACAGAAGTAATACAATTTTTTTAAATATTGTTTCAGTGGTAATCCTATTGAGGTGGTATATGTTTTACTGCAGTCAATCCTAATCAAATAAACTTTTAGATAAATATTGATATTTCACTTAATGTTAATCTGTGTGAACTTTTTGTGTGCAGGATGATCTTACTAGAGTGAGGGTCGTATATGTTGCGAGTGTTACTTACATCATCATCTTAAAGTGGTATAACTACACCGGTGTCATTATACTGGCATTCTAACAACATTTGATTTCAATAAAATAAATCTGTAAATGTTTCGCAATGTTTAAGTTAATCCTATTAATTTAACTAAACGGTAACCTTATATTCCGTGTGTAAAACAGCTGTTGCAGTAACACTGAAGCAGTAAGATATCACTATGACGTTATTGTTTTTGTAATATGTGTAAGCCACACATATTATCGTCCTGAAAACTATTACAAGACATACTCTGACACGGTAGTTCTAAGCCTGTCTACCAATGTTCCTTTTAACACAAGCTTTAAAGTAAAGGAACGATTTTGTCTACAGTTATTCATTGTAACTTAGTTATTGGGTTTGCATGCTTAATCAACAGATTTCTGCCTGATTTTACTCTCGTTACTAGTTCAAGTTATTTATTAACTTTTAGTTTTACGACTTATTAGTTACTAGGAAACTGTGTACCTGTAAAAGCAGATTTCACATTCGGTATTCCTCCTCGAAATCCCTACGTAAAATAAACGTTCATGAAGGTACAACTAAAATCCCCAGGGTGACGTCACTTATTAACCATCAAACGAGTCTTACCAAGCCGTCATAGCATCAATCGTCATCCTATCTATAGATTAAACGAAATAATCAGGCTATATCTTGCGTACCTTATATGTCTGATTTTGATACACCCACGTATCAATTGATATCTTTTTGTTTTGCTGAAATGGTCAGAAGTCCATTAAAAGAAAATGGACTTTCCATTCTCACAAAAGTATTGAACAGCATTATTTTTCAAATTTAATGCTGGTACAAAAATGTATGAACGCAAATTGGTAAGATAGATACGGTCAATATAGGCATGTAGCCGATTTGCGGTCATACCGTCGTGAACATTGAACAAAATGCTGTTCAATCCCGATATTTGCATTCTAAATTTGTTAGTTAGTATTGACCTATTGACTATACAGACAGGCCAGGATTTTTTCTATTTTAAAGTGTCTGTGATAAACGAGATTCCTGGAACACCTAACGTCACCAAAATGTTTATTTTTAACGAGTATTTCGTGTTATTCGAGGCGGGTAAAGTGACGCTGATTAAATCACGTTGTTAATGATTATAGAGGAACTCGCCATAGAAATGAAAGGTTGGTTTAAAACATGTAAATGTCGCAGGTAATGATTGATGGTTTGATTAAGAAAATATTGTATTCCTATCCACAGGATTCCCCTTAACTCATATCTTTCAAAAGAAAAAGAAAAAGGATTCAAGTATGTATACATACACGGCTTCACATACTGTCTGGTCAAATTTCTAGAATTTCATTATTTAAGACTAACAAGAGTTCACTCTTTTCATTCTCAACTACATGCTTTAAGAGGTGTGCAGATGTACAGTGTAATATGTGAGGGTTTGTCGCAATTTGCAAGTTATTCTGTTCTATCAGCATAACGGTTGTATACAGGTGTATATTTAATTAATTAAAGGAGTTTGTTTAGAGATCAAAATATTTATTTCAAACCCTCTGTATATAGATCTTTTGAATTTCAGACAGTTTCATAAAAAAAACATAAGTGCGACATTCTTTTGATCTTTAGCATGGAAAATGACAGGTTTTGTGATAATGTCTATAAAAAACTAATATTGCAGGTCTTTTAATTATCGTAGATTTGCTAAAGTAGTGAATTTTGCAGAGTCTTCTAGAGATCAGCTCTCTAGTGTAAGCGCTAAAAGTACTATTACAAAATTACTGAAAAATAAAGTTGAAAAAACGTACTCATGATGGTGTTGTTGCACATCAATGCAACTGTAAAGGTCAAGTTAAATTAAGAAATGGTTTGGGACCTGCGAATTTTCCTATTCTAAAAATTAAAAAAATAAGGAAGAAAAATTGAACTACTTTTTTCGAGATTGTTCACATTTTGTTTAAATAACATATTGTCGAAAATGTTCGCTTATTATCATTTTTATTTATAAAATGAAAAACAACGAAGCATTATCATTGCCTCGGCTGTGGAAGTGTGTAGGTCTATCACTAAATATTAGAAACAAATCTTCCAAAAGCATGATTTTCCATATAAGTCGAACATCTCAGAAAAGGTTAAAAGTGTTGACAAAATACACATTTTAGATCCAATAATACATTTTCAAATATGACCGGATCCGTCTAAATATTTACACAACACGTATGGAGAAATGGGTCGGTCTAGACAAATATAATGATGCCCAACACGGACCCACTCAGGTTACATTAGTTACGCTAAGCATACTATATTTTTCTGACAGATATTTTGGCGGTTTTCATCGCTCATCGTATCTACTCGTATATCGAATCTAAATACCTTAACGATTGGCAAGGTAACCCAGGCTCCAATAATCTGGTGTTGATCCGCTTTTCATACATATTTTGGGAGCATAGTTTCGTTCTTCTATGTCATATTATTCTAAACGAACGCCCATCGATATCTGGGTCAAACAATTACATCTATAATACTGATAGAGCCAATCAATATATTGATGATGGGACCACTAAACATAACGAGGTCAAGACATGAAAATGAGATCCACCGATGGTAGACCAACTCAGTTTTATGAAGTATTACTGATTTACCAAATATACCAAGCAGAAGGAAACCATGAATCATTGAGGGTGAGGTAAGGGATGCACATTTGTCATCTCTAATAATGAGGCATAAGATAGGCGTTTACCTGAAACTAAGATAAAATTCTAAGCATGTCGCCTGGCTGTTTACAACGTACCCACTTGTGCTGGGCATGAAGCGGCTTGAGCGATGTAGCTTCAGTCCAGTGTAATCGGATGTTACTGAATAATATCAAGAAAATTACTGCAGACTTATTTGATTAAAACTATTTTGATACTTCTCGAGAGAGAAACGATAAAGTAACGAACAGGGATATTTGCTATTGATGGCAAGGTTTCCTCAAACTTAATTGGTTGTTCATTGTTTACATGTTTTTCTCATTCCATACAGACAATATATTACAAACAGATATCAGCATGAACGTCCAATAGTACTGGTGATCTACTCACACGGGCAGATACCTGAAGTCGTCTACTTCAGAGTATCACCACTTTTTGTCGCCTAGTGAAGTTATTGTGCGGTCTCTTATATTCATATAAGCATGATATTTTGATACGGAATCATTACTTGAACATCTACAAATAGTCCAAGTATAGCTACAGAAGAGTATCAACAAAACAAATACCATGACGGCTAGCACAATGTATATATTCATGTAATTTTCCTACTTCATAAAAATTAAGGAGATGCATTTTGTAAGGATGGAAATTAATACTTACTTACGGCTACATTAATACAAGAGAGGGGCTGGTACTTTCTACCTCGAGAGAATAATACTTAAGGATATGTGTCAGGGTAATTTAGGATACATCTGCATTCCAACTAGTTCCAGCTACGCCAAGAGGTAAATCATGACGCCGTTTAGATATTGAAACTGACTAACATACAGATATTGATTGAGTTTGACAAAAAATAATTGTAAAACTGCAAAATGTAATCAAGAGTTGTGATATTGCTCATCAACAAGCTGTTTGTTAACAGCCCTGCATCAGCGAATTTAATGGTAAATTTGCGTGTGATGATACAAATGACTTGCCATAATAAAAACATATATATATTAAACAAAACGCGGGTGTTGTAATTAATCGTTGACTAGAAACGGGAGATGTTTTTATATTTTCTCTCACAATCTTACATCAGGCTGTGGTGGGTTCTTTACAATAAGCAGGTCAGACTGTCCTTATATCATTGTTTTTAGAGTGATGACCATATACATACATTACAAATAACTATTAACTACTATTGGCAATAGATACAATATACACGCACTTTTAAATAATTATCACAACACACACTGTCTGTATAACAATCATCACACACTGTATGTATAACAATCATCACACATTGTCTGTATAACGATCATCTCACACGTGTCTGAATAACGATCATCACACACTGTCTGTATAACGATCATCACACACTGTCTGTATAACGATCATCACACATTGTCTGTATAACGATCATCACACACTATCAGTATAACGATCATCACACATTGTCTGTACAACGATCATTTCACACGTGTCTGAATAACGATCATCTCACACGTATCTGAATAACGATCATCACACACTGTATGTATAACGATCATTACTTACACGTGTCTGAATAACGATCATCACACACTGTCTGTATACCGCTCATCACACACTGTCTGTATAACGATCATCATACATTGTCTGTATAACGATCATCTCACACGTTTCTGTATAACGATCATCACACACTGTCTGTATAACGATCATCATACACTGTCTGTATAACGATCATCACACACTGTCTGTATAACGATCATACGCTGTCTGTATAACGATCATCTCACATTGTCTGTATAACAATCACCACACACTGTATAACGATCACCACACACTGTATAACGATCATCACACATTGTCTGTATAACGATCATCACAAACAGTCTGTATAACGATCATCACACATTGTATAACGATCATCACACACTGTCTGTATAACGATCATCACAAACAGTCTGTATAACTATCATCACACATTGTATAACGATCATCACACACTGTCTTTATAACGATCATCACACACTATCTATATAACGATCATCACGCACTGTCTGTATAACGATCATCACAAACAGTCTGTATAACTATCATCACACATTGTATAACGATCATCACACACTGTCTGTATAACGATCATCACACACTATCTATATAACGATCATCAGGCACTGTATGTATAACGATCATCACAAACGTGTCTGTATAACGATCATGATACACTGTCTATATAACGATCATCACACATTGTCTACAAATCATCACACATTGTCTGTATAACGATCATCACACACTGTCTGTATAACGATCAACACACACTGTCTATATAACGATCATCACACATGGTCTGTATAACGATCATCTCACGCGTGTCTGAATAACGATCATCACACACCCTCTGTATAACGATCATCACACATTGTCTGTATAACGATCATCACACCCTGTCTGTATAACGATCATCGCACCACATGTATCTTTCCACTTATCATTAGGCTTTGTACAGTCTGTGATCACTCGAAACTGTCAGTGATCACTATGCTCATCAAACATATTTCAATGATCATCAGACATTTTACAATGTTGCCCCGGTATTTTCTGTCACACAGCTCTCTGTCTCTATGGCAGCCATATGGATGATATTCCCATCATTGTCTTTAACAATAAATGCCTCGTGACAAACAGTTACAGTGGTATCGCTTAAATCAATGTTATCTCCCTTTTCCGAAGGAACGTTACTGCAGATTTGGTCTTTAACATCAGACATTGCACAACATGTCTGCTTGTCATTATCACCGGTTTCTGTCATATGTTCACCTGAATCAGTAACTTTATGAGTAAAATGTTCTTTTGAATAAGCAGCATTGTTTGAACAATTCTTATCTGTTTCTCCATTTGCTGCCAGTTTGGCGATGGCTGCGTCCTGCCTTGGTGGAACACTTTCCAAAGAAGTATCCATATGTTCTACTAACTGACCTGTTTTTACCACTACCGGATCAGTATTAACTGCTGCAGGATCTGTAGGTTCTGCGGTATGACCTATATGTTCTACCGTAAGACCTGTAGGTTCTACCGTAAGACCTGTAGGTTCTACCGTAAGACGTGTATGTTCTACCGTAAGACCTGTATGTTCTGCGGTATGACCTGTATGTTCTACCGTAAGACCTGTAGGTTCTACCGTAAGACCTGTAGGGTCTACCGTATGACCTGTAGGGTCTACCGTATGACCTGTATGTTCTACCGTAAGACCTGTAGGTTCTACCGTAAGACCTGTAGGGTCTACCGTATGACCTGTAGGGTCTACCGTATGACCTGTATGTTCTACCGTAAGACCTGTATGTTCTGCTGTAAGACCTGTATGTTCTACTGTCAGACCTGTATGGTCTACTGTCAGACCTCTATGTTTTGCTTCATTATCTGTATTTGTAACAGTCTGTTTAGCACTATAGTTTGTCTTTTCAGACTCTTGATTTGCATCAGTCATTTCCACACTGTCAATATGATGGTCAACACATGTAGGTTTTCTCACATCTGTTTCTACATTTGTCATCACTGCATCAACTCCTGCACCAACCCCAGACTCAAGATCTTTAACGTCCGACTTCGTTTCGTTTTTCACCTTATCAGTATCTAACAAACTTGATGCTGTTACCATAGTTACAGCACTAGAATCTGCCTCAGCACTTTTATCTTGTAGTTGTGTTTCCGACTCCACTTCGTTATCCTTACTGTGGTTGGCAAGAAAATCTTTCCCAATCATCACCTGTTTAACTTCAGAGTTTGCTCCATCCGTGTAAATAACAAAACCATCCTGATCCCCAATATCGCCCTCTTCACTTATAATCAGAATATTGTCCATGTCAGATGAATCTTGAAAAATGTTCATTTCATTTACATCACCTGTTGTTTCCATGGGAACAACTTTAGTGACTGGGCTGTTTTTAATGTCACAAGGAAATCCTTCAGTACTACAATCACCTGCATTCTGCACCACCACAAAATCTCCATCAGAGTCAGCACTCACATTCACATAAACAATCTTGGCTCCATCTGAGTCCACAGTGACTCTACCAGTCACTTCTGTGGTAGGTTTTTCTACTGTGGACCGAGGAACCGACTGTATAACTGTTCCCTCTGATTTGGTTTCCATGGCATCAGTCTTCTCATTCTCTGGTTGATGCAGGGTGGTGACCTTCAGGTCCCCCTGGTCATTGGTTTCTATGGTTACTGAATCCCATGATGACATAGCCTTGTTGTGTTCCTCCACATGTATCTTAAGGTTCTCAGCCTTGTCAAAAGTATCGCCACATATACCACACACATAGGGTCTCTCCTGAAACAGAAGTCAAATGCACTTATTCCACAACATCCATAGACTGTAGTCGACACAAATGTATATAAATTCCATCATTTTAAGTCTATTATATTTTTCATTAAATTCTTATGGTAACTTCAGTCCACTTGAATATCCTGTTCTAAAGATTAAAAACATACAGGTGGTCACCAAAAGTATTCACTATGGACAATCTTTATATTTTCAAGTAGACTTTTATAACACCTACAGTACACTTTTAAATGTATATTCATTGTCACTTGGCTCTGTCATTTGTAAATATACTTCTGCATCTGAGGGTGTATCTTGAGTTTTTCCTTACTTGTGAGTGTCTGAGGGTGTATCTTGAGTTGTTCCTTACCTGTATCTGTCTTAGGGTGTATCTTCGAGTTATTCCTTACCTGTGTGTGTCTGAGGGTGTATCTTGAGTTGTTACTTACCTGTGTGTGTCTGAGGGTGTATCTTGAGTTTTTCCTTACTTGTGTGTGTCTGAGGGTGTATCTTGAGTTGTTCCTTACCTGTGTGTGTCTGAGGGTGTATCTTGAGTTATTCGTTACCTGTGTGTGTCTGAGGGTGTATCTTGAGTTGTTCTTACCTGCACATGTGTCTGAGGGTGTATCTTGAGTTGTCACTTACCTGTGTGTGTCTGAGGGTGTATCTTGAGTTTTTCCTTACTTGTGTGTATCTGAGGGTGTATCTTGAGTTATTCCTTACCTGTGTGTGTCTGAGGGTGTATCTTGAGTTGTTCTTACCTGTGCCTGTGTCTGAGGGTGTATCTTGAGTTGTCACTTACCTGTGTGTGTCTGAGGGTGTATCTTGAGGTTTTCCTTACCTGCGCATGTGTCTGAGGGTGTATCTTGAGTTGTTCCTTACCTGTGTGTGTCTGAGGGTGTATCTTGAGTTTTTCCTTACTTGTGTGTATCTGAGGGTGTATCTTGAGTTTTTCCTTACCTGTTTGTGTCTCAGAGTGTATCTTGAGTTATTCCTTACCTGTGTGTGTCTGAGGGTGTATCTTGAGTTGTTCCTTACCTGTGTGTGTCTGAGGGTGTATCTTGAGTTATTCCTTACCTGTGTGTGTCTGAGGGTGTATCTTGAGTTGTTCCTTACCTGTGTGTGTCTGAGGGTGTATCTTGAGTTATTCCTTACCTGTATGTGTCTGAGGGTGTATCTTGAGTTGTTCCTTACCTGTGTGTGTCTGAGGGTGTATCTTGAGTTATTCCTTACCTGTGTGTGTCTGAGGGTGTATCTTGAGTTGTTCCTTACCTGTGTGTGTCTGAGGGTGTATCTTGAGTTGTTCCTTACCTGTGTGTGTCTGAGGGTGTATCTTGAGTTATTCCTTACCTGTATGTGTCTGAGGGTGTATCTTGAGTTGTTCCTTACCTGTGTGTGTCTGAGGGTGTATCTTGAGTTATTCCTTACCTGTATGTGTCTGAGGGTGTATCTTGAGTTGTTCCTTACCTGTGTGTGTCTGAGGGTGTATCTTGAGTTATTCCTTACCTGTATGTGTCTGAGGGTGTATCTTGAGTTGTTCCTTACCTGTGTGTGTCTGAGGGTGTATCTTGAGTTATTCCTTACCTGTATGTGTCTGAGGGTGTATCTTGAGTTGTTCCTTACCTGTGTGTGTCTGAGGGTGTATCTTGAGTTATTCCTTACCTGTATGTGTCTGAGGGTGTATCTTGAGTTGTTCCTTACCTGTGTGTGTCTGAGGGTGTATCTTGAGTTATTCCTTACCTGTATGTGTCTGAGGGTGTATCTTGAGTTGTTCCTTACCTGTGTGTGTCTGAGGGTGTATCTTGAGTTATTCCTTACCTGTATGTGTCTGAGGGTGTATCTTGAGTTGTTACTTACCTGTGTGTGTCTGAGGGTGTATCTTGAGTTGTCACTTACCTGTATGTGTCTGAGGGTGTATCTTGAGTTTTTCCTTACCTGTATGTGTCTGAGGGTGTATCTTGAGTTGTTCCTTACCTGTGTGTGTCTGAGGGTGTATCTTGAGTTATTCCTTACCTGTATGTGTCTGAGGGTGTATCTTGAGTTGTTACTTACCTGTGTGTGTCTGAGGGTGTATCTTGAGTTGTCACTTACCTGTATGTGTCTGAGGGTGTATCTTGAGTTTTTCCTTACCTGTGTGTGTCTGAGGGTGTATCTTGAGTTGTTCCTTACCTGTGTGTTCTGACTCTGAGGGTGTATCTTGAGTTTTTCCTTACCTGTGTGTGTCTGAAGTATCTTTAGTAGTCTCTTACCTAGGCATGTGTCTGAGGGTGTATCTTGAGTTGTTCCTTACCTGTGTGTGTCTGAAGTATCTTTAGTAGTCTCTTACCTGGGCATGTGTCTGAAGATGTATTTTCAGTGACTGGGCATTTGTGAATCCTGCGTCACAGTACTCGCACACATAGGGTCGGAGCTCAGCATGAGTGATTAAGTGACTCTGGGGGACAGGAAGGAGGGTTATGTATTAGTCTTTAACAATCAGAATCATTTCAATGATATATATACCTATGGTTCTGTAGAAAAGGGAATGGAACTGCCTTCAATATAGACAATGCTATGCACAGCAACTCTTTCCTATTCCCCTTTTACTGCAGATCATACTTGTATTATTCAAAGTGATGGGAAATCAGTTCAAAAAAATACAACCTATTAATTATCTGTTGGAAATGGATATGCTTAATCAATTAATATATTACTTAATGATTTTTTTATGAACATCTCTTTCCGGAAAAAAACACTTTTAATACTTTTGAACTTTTGAACACTTTACCTCTTATAGAAAATGTAAAAATATAAGTTTGATAGCATTGGAGGCTTGTGTTAACATTTTTCCTAAAATTAATAGGAATAGTGTGTTATGACCAGGTGATCAATTAGGAGAAATAACAATTGTCAGAACATGAGATCAATTAATTAGTCAAATAGTTAACTAATTGACTACAGCCAATTACTGACCAATCCCTCATTTCACATTAAAGAAAAAAAAAAAAAAATCCAGTTTCACATGATCAAATATATTTTTCTCATAACATAGGACATGCCTGTTGTTTTGAAATACATGTAATAGTAATATATTTCAGGAATATCGAACGCTACCTTGAGATGGTCTAGGTTCCTGAAACCTTTCCTACAGATTCCACACATGTGTGGCCCCTCAGCCAGCCCCTTGTCCTCTCCCGTACGACAGCTCCTTGCAGAATCCTTCTCCTCCTCTTCCTGATCTTTGCCGATGTCCCCGATGTCTATTGGTTCCTGTTTTATCAGCTCCACTGTGACACGCTCATTGGAGGCATGTTCGTGTCGTTCATACGCTGCTTTTCTGTGAGACTGGAATGAATCAATATCTTTTCCTGAAGACTCGGTTGGTTCAGCAGTAGAGGAGCTGTGTTCTCCGGACACAGATGTACCAAGAACTGTTCCCGCTGTTTTTGTGAACTGCACTAGAGTCTGTAGAAATACTGATATGTCTGATGCCTCTAACCCGCTGATTGCTGTCTCATATTTGTTATATGTGCCGACTGGAAGTCTGCCTAACTGTTCCCACTTCTGCACATGATTCTTGGACCTTAGGTGTTTTGCAAGATGACCTTTCATGCGGAATGCGATGTCGCAGTCATCACAACGGAATGGACGTGGATTATCCGAGGATGATAAATCGCCGCGGACTAGAGTCTGGTGTGGTTCCGACTGCTGATGCTTCATGAAGATGCTATGTGTTTTGAATGCTAGGTGACAGGTGTCACACTTGAAAGGCTTTTCAATGAAGTGAATATTTCTGTGGAGTACTAACTGTTGGTTCTCTTGGAATGCTTTCATACAAATATCACAGACAAACTTTCCTCCCCTCGAAGAAGAATTCTCCCCCAGAATTACATAACTACAGGCTCCAGAACTCTCCTCCTTCTTTGGTGATGTAACTTCAGAACGAATGAAAACACAGTCTGGATCACTAGTGTCTAAAGAAACAGAAACTGGATTTTCAGGATCGTTGACTTTTATAGACTCCACTGATCCTGAGCTTAATTTCCTAGCCTGGTCATTTAGATGTGTGATCAACTTTTCAAAACCTTCAGACCCTGATGCTTGATTGAGATAACTATGGAATGGATGACTGAACTGAAATGGCAAGTACGAGGTTGATGATTGGCCGTCTTCTGATGGAGGCTGATCAGGACTTGTAACATGCAATCTGATTGGTTCTTTAAGACCAATATTAAAAAGTTTTGCAAGTTCCACAGATATTTCACTGCTGGTGGTGGGAAGGGACGATGACAACATTGGGGGCATGAAGCCACCCAGTGGTACTGTGACCAGGAATCCTTTCTGAGATGAAGAAGTGGAATCAGAATTCGACTGATCGTGGCTTGATACAACAAGCTGAGCGTTTTCCTCCTTCGAATGATTAATGGTAGAGGATTTCTCTTCTGTGTTCTGTAATGAGAAATTGTACATTTGTATTCCATTGGAAAGGAACTGTTATCAAATAGTAATTTGTGTATTGCTTTCATGCAAATTAAAGTGCACAAGTTATGAATATCAATGGCTATATTTTTTATTGTTCTTCCATGAGGAAGCTACCTTAGCACTGTCGGAAAACCAGTAAATCGTAATAACCAAATATATTGTATCATATCACAATGCAGAACAAAAATATTGCTGTATGGCTTATTTTTATGTGTTCACTACTTGGACGATATATCGGGATAGGTACATCACAATACATTCCTTCTGTATTGCAATATATATAGGATCTCAAATGAGTTTTCATTTCATATGAGATTTTATGAAACAAGTTTTAGGAGTTTTCATTTTTGCGAGCCTTGGTGAGCAAATATTTAAACTAGAAGACTTGATATTTTAACCATCTAAACATCTATTTTGTATGATACCGATTTAAGTCTTGCGGTTTTAACTTACAGAGCAGGAGAGACAAACATGTGTGGGTGGACTATCAGTGCAGAAGCACACTACTCCTTGCAGGTGGCTTACCAAGGTGAGGGGAGACTACTCCTGGTGGGTGGCCTACCAGAGCTGGGGGTGGGGGGGGGGCTTTTTTGTGGCATACAAGAGATGGGGGAGAAATCTGCCTTTGAGTGGCTTATGAGAACAAGAGGAAACAACTATATAGGTCTGTGGGTGGCTTATGAGAACAAGGGGAGACAACTGCCTGTGGGTGGCTTATGAGAACAAGGGGAGACAACTGCCTGTGGGTGACCTACCTTGTCCACCTGATTTGTACCCAAGGGGAGGAGGATTCGTTTACTGTCGTCAGTCATTGTCCTCATTATCAGTTCACTGATCAGGTTGCCCAGTCGTGTCTCTGCAAAACGAAAAAGCAAGTTTACATACTATTTAAGTACAATTTGTTTTACTGAACCCCTGAGTATTCCGACATCCAGTTTAACCTGACCCCTGAGTATTCTGACATCCAGTATAATATGACCCCTGAGTATTCAAACACCCTGTCTAACCTGACCCCTGAGTACAATAATGTCCTGCAGTACTTAGCATTTAAATGTCATCACATTTCTTATAGAAATCACTGATAAAACTTCTGTGCTCTGACTTGTCTGAGGCCAGGTCATTAAAGTATTTCAATCGATGTTTTTGCTAACATATCAGCAATTAAACAAAATGGAAGGATAGTTCAGAAATACTTCCCATTTTATTTTAGTTCTAGCTAAGCTGATATAAAAAAAAACATTCGCATTATAAAGAGATTTGGCCATTATTAGAGGGAAAAATAAAAAAAAAAAGAGAACAAAACTGGACCTTGAAATTTGTTGGTGGTATTATATCTGGGCTTTACTTTAATACTGACCAGATAAATAGAGGTTACACAACGAGTGGTTGTTGAATATGGTATTTATTTCTCTCGAGTAAGTTAATTTTCAAAAGTTACAAAAGACACGAGCTTTAGCGAGTGACTTTCTGTAACTTTTGAAAATTAACTAACGAGAGTAAAATACATACCATACTCAACAACCACGAGTCGTGTGATCTGTTTCTACCACAATCATGAACATACACACATGTGTTTGTTGACAAGGCTGGCGTAGTGATATGACCCATATGTAAAAAGTCCCTCATTAATATTCAAAAATGACTTTTTTTTTTACAAACTTAATTATTGTCAAAATAATTGTTTCGGCAACAACTTCGTGAAAAAATAAAATAGATAAATGTGTTTAAATATTGAGAGTAGTAGTATTGCATTAATTTACATAAATTAACCACAGACTATATGCGCATAAGCATATCGTACCAAGTCTGCCTCCCGCCAAGTGATGAACCGTTGTAGACGAACTTATCGCTGTCAATATCCAAAACCATAGGCCTACGTTTCTTCGTGACGGTTCTATGGTTGACGTTTATAGAGATAGTTCAGCCATAGTCAGACCGTCTAAATAGCGATAACGGGACGTTGGGAGAACGAAATATTTCCAGACACTGTGACAGATCTTGTTTTGGTATGACGTTGGAACGATATCGAGCGTCTGTAGCAATTTTGCCTGAAACTAGCAGTCAAATCTTTAAGTATCATCTTTTAATATTGCCTTAATAACCCCCCTTTCCGCATAACTTCACAAAGTCACCAACATTTGTCGGATGTTGACAGCCGACGACGTAAACAAAACAGCAGGTGGCAAAAAGCATGTGGAAATAGTCTTCCCGGTCAAAGTTCATCTTCTCGACCAATCAAAACTCTTGAAGGTCATATACCACGTGTGGTATGTAACTCGTATTTATCTAACAGTCTGCGTGTTTATACAATGATCTGAGAGTGGAATAACACAGCGTATTGTGGTAGAAAACAGGAAACTTTAACATAGATTTACTGACAGTGAACAATACCTATGGTTTTGGCTGAGCCACCAGTGGTGTCTGGGGTCTGGGGGTCCACAACAGAGGACGAGCTCGGCTGGCTCTGTTTAGACAATTCTAACAGACTGCAGGCAATCTCAGAGTCCACGCCATCTCCAGAGCTTACACCTATCATGATCAATTAGGAAAAGAAATTCATTAAAATTTGCAGTCGTTAATATAAAATAGATACAATGTACATGTGTATGTTGAAAGTGCAGGAAAAACTTGATGGGATATTTTTCAAGGAATTCCTTTTCTTTACAAGCATTATATTAAACAAAAAATTGCAAGTCATAGGTAGCAGTGTACAGTAGCGTAAGGTGGCCATGGGTGATATTTTTATGCAATAAATCACCCTTGTAATATTACATGTATCAAAATTGAAAAAAAAATAGCACTAAAATTGGCATATACATTAAGTTAACTTCATAATTTCCCTCTCAAAAAAAATATTTTGAAAAATCCACCAGATTGACCTACGCTAAAACGTGAGCATTTCTGTTACTGAGTAGGCGAAATTTAATTTCAGACAGGTTTTAAGAAAAAAATAACTACTTTTGGGGGTCAAATTTTGGGTTAAAAATCATATTTGTTTTTTGCATTTTTTGATGTGGTAACCATGGTTTTCACAAGTCCCAAATCTGGGGAAAACATTTTTAAAAAAAAAAAGTCTTCTAAACAAAATGTACTCTGCTACCATAGGTGTCAACCTCTGAAGCTTCCAATGAGGGAGATCCCCCTCATTCCACATTTCTAATGAGGGAGATCCACCTCATTCCACATTTCTAATGAGGGAGAAAGTGTGTGAAACATGACTGAAACTGCTTTGCTAAATCTATCTTCCCTTTTAATGTATCAAATAACACCAAAAAGCATTCATTAGATTCAGACACTCCTGTCATGATCAGTTCACACACCCTGCGGTAACTAGGAGATCATTTGACCAGAAGATGTAGATTTTGAGCTTGTGCTGATTTGGACTTGAATGAGGAACCTTAGAGGGAGATTTGTAAATTTTGGCTAAAATGAGGAAGTCTTTCTCCTAATGAGGGAGGGTTGATGGACCTCTTACATAGATATATTTGCTTGTTTGATAACCTTTTTTTTGGAACGCTAATGCTATCACTGACAAAAAAGCTAAGTATGGGTTTAACCTTCCTGTGTTTTGAGATTTGCTGCAGTATATCATGATTATACTATTGCAAATCGAGTTTTACAGTTAACACAGAGCTTTTTTTGATCAAAATTCAATTCTTAAAGCAAGAAGAAACTGAAAATGTTTGAGAAGCAGTCAAAACAAATTTCAAACATGTTTGTAATTAAATATTGCCACAATTTGTTTTTATTTTGTCCAATCAATATGAGAGTTGATAGACTCATTCTCTACACAATAGGCTGATTTTCATACCTTGACTAGTATTTGATTCCTTTTGCTCAAATCCATACACAGTTCCTAATCTGAAACATAAGAAACAAATATGATAGAATCTTTTGGAAAACTGGCAAATAATTTCAACCAAAATGTTACACTCTTAAGGGAGATAACTCCTCAATTTCATGTTTGTTTTAAACATGAAATGCAGGAGTTATCTCCCTTAAGAGTGTAGAATTTCCCCCAAAAAAGACAAATAATAATCTTATTAAAGATCGCATTACTTTAGATAAAAATAAAATAATAAATAATAGTTTTGTAATGAAAAGGGTGCACAAACCTTATGGAAATGAAAAAAATGAAGAAATAGCACTTATAACAATGGGGTTGGGTTATTATTCAGTTGTCCTGAACAGATCGCAAGAAAATGGTTATCCAGCTACAAACCTTGGGGTCCCATTAGGTCTATTTGTGGCCATACTATCCCCTGTTGTAATGGAGTCATCACCAGTGTCCATTGCTTTTGATACGACCGGTTTTTCTGATGCTTGGACCTGGAGAATGGGTTGTATGGTGGAGCAGACGACTGGTACCAAGCCAAGGAGACCTTGTTCCACGGAGGACAGGTTTAGGCTAGAACTGCTGTTATACAATCACAAAATATCACATCATCAAATCATCTTTTGTTCAGGAGGCATTCATTGTAAATTATAAAATTTGTCTGTAAACTTAATGCAGTATTGAGGGTATTTCCTGTCGTAAGGAAAAAAATGTTGAATGTTCTCATGAACTGTTGACCCGACCCATTTTTTACTGCTTCCCTACAGAAGGGGCTTAGAACATAAAATGGCAGAATTTTGTAGTCTGCAGGATGTTCAGGAATAAAATGAAACAAAAGATTGGGTTTAGTGCAACAAATGTTTTGTTAAGCAAACCTGCTGCATCAGACAGCAAGTAATTCATAAAGGATTCAATCCCTTAAAATTATAATGGTTTCAATCCCCTAAAAAACACCAGTCATTAACAAAATCATCCCAAATAAAAAAAATGTATATATATTCATGACACACATTTGAATGTGTTTTTAAGTCTTTAAAATGTTATTTAGATAAAAAAAATAAGTTTGCTATTCCTATGTCCAAAGGTCCAATTTGAAAACCTACTGCAAATACATGAGTATATTATATACAGAAAAATTTGTATCGTAAATCAAACTCACCTCTCAGCTGTATCGTCAATGATTTCTTCAGCCCCGACGCTGCCCGGTCTCGCATCCTCCTCTACCTCTATCAGAGTTACCTCGCCTGATTCTTCACCTTCTTCTATGTCGTCCTCGTCATCAGACATGTCCATGTTTTCCTCGTCTTCGTCAGAATCCTCATTGCCCAGACTGACCTTACCCTCGCGGTCGCTGACTATGCGTGCGACCTTTGAGAGGGCACACTGCGCAGCCAGAGCGTTGCTGTCGATCTGTGACTCGTCCACCTGTGTGGGGATGGGGATTATACCTAGTTCTACACACTTCTTGTGGTGAGCCTTGGACTTCATGTGTTTCGTCAGATTGCCCTTGGTTTTGAATGAGAACCGACAGTGTTTACAGTGGTAAGGTCGGAGGTCAGTATGACTGCGGATGTGCTTTTTCAACATGCTTGGTTTCTTGCACCTAATTCCACATTTTTCACACACATACTTTCCCCGTCCCCTTCCACGAATGTATGTGTACTCATCCATACTCTTATACCCGCCTTTGAATGCTGAAATTTTACACACATTCTGGTCCTGTTTGTCTCCTTTTCCGGCTGTGGCCGACTCACTGGCCTGTGTGGTGGTTGGTTTGGTAACCATTGTGTCGGTATGACGCTGGTTTTGTTTGTACGACCAATAGCTGCTGTGAGTAAGCACACCTCCTTTAGATATACCCGAGTTAGGAATGGCACACACTGGGTTACTTGTGTAGTGGGAATCGTACAACTCCAGCAACATTTTACAGCTCAGTCCTACGGGGTTGGGATCGTGTTGCGACAGCTTCCAGTTGGAGTACATAGACACTCTCTTGTTGATGCCTTGTAGCACGTACATGGGCTGAGGACGCTGAACACAACAGAAAGTCGTGTGAGTGTTGACTCTGAGGGAGGGAAAGGAATGTCCAAGCAATGTCAGTGATGCTAGGTTTTTATCACTCTTTGTTGGTGAGGGTGGGTCAGTCTGGCAGCTGACAGCTCCATTGCAAGTTTTTGAGGACAAATCTCCAACCATTTCACCCAGAAGTGCTGCCTTGAGTTTTGACTTGGATGGACTTCGAAGAATTTTTGGACTTAGATCAGTAACATTAGTTGTTTTCTTTGGTACAAATTGTTTGGAGCTACCAATATTTGAGGTGAACATTAGGTGACTGAGGATCTGAGACGGATGGAAGATGTACTGTTCCCTTGCAGTTGGGACCATGATTGTGTCAGACTTCTCTGCCAATATGATCTCAACATTAGCACTGGAAACCTGTTGTTGATCGTACACCGATACACTGGTCAATTTTGTTAGCTTTGCGACTGGTTCTGAATAGGACCTTAGTAGCGTAGACCCCCCAATCAATGGAGATTCTGGTAACTTCCTCTTCCTGTTCAACGCTTCTTGAGAGTCGGTTGCCATAGAGATGGGTATATCTAGACTAGTAGGTACCTCGGCCAATGGAGAGGCAATGCTTGCAGTTCCTTCTGGTGAAAATTTGTCAATACTCAATGACCTTTTCATCAAAAGCTTACCTTTCAGCCTCTGCTTTAGATGAGACTGTGAATCATTGTGGTCAAACCCTGTTTGGATAACCGGTGTCACTGGAATGATAGGAATTACAGATGTCAAGGGACTATGAAGTGCACTAGTCATAAATTCCTTTGTGAGTGAAGAGGCTCGGGTCACTGAATGTGTTTGATTGAGATGCATGTCGGACAGCTTCAAATTTGATTCTGACAAAACAACAGGAGACGCAGGGACCAGCATACGCGCAACACTGGTTTGTGACCCTAGATTAATGAGAATTGGGACAGAGCTCTGTGCAGACACAGTTCCAGAAGTACTCGGTCCGGCCACAGGCCCGATGATCTGAACAGGGACATAACCCTGCATGTCAAAATCTGCCATGTCTTTTGGCCGATTTTTCGAACCTTTTGGACGACCCTTCTTACGTGGAAATATGCTCAGCTCTTGGTTATCTGCAGTTAGTGGGGTCGTAGGGGTTATTGGCATGTTAATTGCAAATGCAGATGATGACGAGGGTAACATTACTTGAATTGGTGTTGTTGGTGTTGCCATGACAACTTGTTCTTGGTCGCTTTGTTTATGTTGAGAAGTGGTGATTTCGGACCTGACAGCACCTGCCTGTATTCCAGCTATAGTGCTTGCCAGACCTACACTGGAATTGCCCTGAGGGATTACTTTTCTTATTACATTCTCTCCATGTGTGAAAAGGCGAACTACTTTTTCTTGGTCGATCATCTCTAGACTGCGTGCTGAAGTGAGCGCCTGGACAGGCTTGGTGACGGAGGCAGTCCCTGAGGGCTTGCAGTAATACAACTTGTGTAGCTCTAGTGTCTGCTCCTTCTTAAAGGACACCTTACATTTGGGACAACAGTGAGGACCATAACTGTCTCCTTCCTTAGCAGAATTCTCCTTCCTATTTTCCAGTTTTCTCGTTTCACCAGTGCTGTCTGTTGGCTTTGATAGCTGTATTTTGATTGTAATTTCCTGACCCTGCTGATTCTTGCCAACCATGGTCTTGGTTTGGAGATCGTTTGAGCCATTCCCCATCGACACACTGACAGTCTGTGGTGGACTTGTACTGGGATCAGAGAGTACTGAAGCCTTCGTTGACAACGAATAGCTTGACACAGAGTTCTGTCTAACCAAAGGTGGTCGGGACTTCAATTCCATCTTCCTGGTTTGCCCATCAGAGCTAGCAACTTGTATTTCATGGCTTGATGGGACATCGTCATCTTTGAGGTCCTGTACCACACCACTAGGAACATCTGTCTGATAATCTGGCATGTCTTCAGCCTCCAGTACTTCTTCAGTATCGTTATCTTCCCTTGATCTGTTTTTCTCTTGCGATTTACTTTTATGACCTAGAGCCCCAAAATCAGGTAAGACTTGTCCTTCTTTGCCAGGTGTTTTACTTTGAGCTGACCCAGTAGAAGTTTGGGTACTATATTCGTGTGTTACTGGGGCAGAGTGGGCCTCTGCATCTACGCTGAGTGACCTTAATGATACATGTGTCGTCACTGGGACAAATACTCGGGGTGAAGAAGGAGTGCCAAGCTGCCCAAAATCTACCTTTATTCCAGGAGTGGAGACCTCACTGTTTTGACGTGATATCCGTTTGTGTCGGGGAGGATCTGCCATTGGAGTGCTGACAATAGCAGCATTTGCTGAAATAAGTTTCTGTATTCTTTCACTCAGCATCTCTGGTGTGAATTCTTTTGACTCCACACCAGCACTACGTGGCTCCAGATCAGGTGTGACTGGTGCAACCGGTTTTACAGTTGCCATACTGACAGTTTGTGACGTCAGACTGGAAGCCATACTTGGACCCCCTGTGGGATTTGATGACAAAACTTCGATAGTGATTTGACAGGAACGATCAGGAAGATTATTAACAGAGGTATAAAGTTTTAAACCTGCACGTGATGCGTTCTTAAAACTTTCACTCAATGCCTCGAGATCACGCAATGCTTTGGTAGCAACGGCAGGACTTGCATTGGGCTGTGGGAGTTTTACAGTCTCCAGTGGTCCCGAGTAGTCTCTCCCAGGCACTTGACGAATCGGACTGCCTGTAAGTTGAGGAAGTCCCATAGACAGAGCATGGAGACGTGGATTCTTATGTTCCCCTAATCCAGTGCTTGCCCCTCCAGTCCCAGATACCTCTTCTTTCTTGCCAGACAGCTGTGGTGTGGATTGTGACATTACTGCCTTCTTCAAAGAAACACTGGCAGGTGCTGTCACGGTGTTTGGAGTCTGAATTATAATTGGAGACACTAGGCCCTGCTTTGTTTTTTCCGCTGGAATCTTCACTGTAGCTCCTGAAGATCCTTGCTTAGGAGCAATCTTTAAATATTGACTTTGAACTTTATGGAACTTTTGTTCGTCTGCTTGGCTAAATTTTCTCTCTAGTTGAGGCACAGTGACGTGTTTAAGAGGCTCTGTCAGTGAAAATGACCGTTTCAGCTTAGCTTTAAGTCTGTCATGGATAGTTCTAAATTTGTCTTGTTTTCCGTCAAATTTCGACTGGGGAACCTCTACTTTTGGGCGTTCTTCTTTAGGTTTCTCAAGATATTTGGCAACTTCTTGAAGCACATGAATCTGAGCGTGCTCCCGTTTTTCAGATAATTCCTCTACCTCATGAACAGCCTCTGCCTCCTTCTGGCTTTCGCCTCCTGACTCAGTACCACTACTGTTCTCATCAGAGTCGTCCATTTCCTCCATGTGAGTAGCCTCCTCCTCACCAATGTCAATGCTGGTTGACTGACCAGTGGTCAGGCCAGACTTTAGGGCATGTGCTCGCGACTTACAGTGTTTGTAAAGATTACTCTTCGTCTTAAAAGAAAATCCACAAGACACACATGGGTAAGGACGTTCCCCTGTGTGCGCTCGTAAATGTTTCAGCAAAACACTTGGCTTAGCACAACCCCTGCCACAAAACGGACAGATGTGCCGTCCAGGCTTCTGTGGGTGCTTCCTCCTACGCCCAGTTGTTTCTGTAGGAACCGCTGACAGGAGAGTTGTACCCCCTGTCTGGATCACAGTCTCGGCAGGTTGTGTTTCAATTGTGTTGATTTGTATACTTTGATAAGTGACAGTGTCCATATTCGGGGATTCACCTGAAGGTACACTTATCTGTTTACTGTACTTTATCCCGTTAACTATTTCGTCTAATATTATATCACTAGGCAAGATTGTCACGATATTTCCATCCACTTCCTGTACTGTTGCTTTCTGGGTCTCGTCAATGATGAGCTGTTGGGGCGACTTGAGGCGTTGTCGGGATATATTCTGTAGTTCATTGTCTGTCACCTGGAAAAGTGCCTCTAAAGACAAGTTTCGTTTCTCTGATGATGCCCCAGATTGACCTCCAACACATCCCAGTGTCGAGTCCTCCTCCACAGCACCACAGTTATCCCCCTTTACTTCACATGGTTGCTCTTGGAATGAACCTTTCATGCAAAAAAAGAAATACAGGGATTTTTCATTAATTTTGGATGCAGCCTTTCATTCTTATCTTGGGAAGAATATATACCAATTGGGAAGGAAATTTTCAGGAATGAATTTAGGTAATTTTAGCATAAATATGAAATAAACGTCACTAAAAAACATTGAAATAGTCAAAAAGTTGAAACTGAATTACCTGTAACTGAATTACCTGTTTTTCATTTTTATTGAAAAGGACATTTTTTACATTAAGGTAAAATGGAAAACAAAATGGCCAAGGCCATACTATACATGTACAATTATCTGGGATGAAAAGGGTTTTAATCCCAGAAATCAACATTTTGATTCCCTCAGAAAGTTCTGAGGTCATCTTTTCAACGGTATCAATGAAAATGCTGATACAAATTCACAGCCAACTTTGCAATAATAATTGGGGGGGGGGTCAAAATAACAGCACAGAACATACTGTAGGTTGTGCTAATGAGGTGTCACAATACATTCCAAGGAAAATTAATCTTTTTTTTTTCTAAAACACTGGAATACAAAACAAGTGCAAAATAGAAAGTGTAAATATATTACTGGAAAGTGTGAGAATTGACGATGTTTAGGAAAGGAAGCTATTCTATGGCATTAAAGTAAGTGCTATAAAAGGAGAGAGGAACTTGTGGACATATATCCCAAATGTCATGAGTGTATGATATTGGTAAATATAAAATTTAAAAAACGAAATTATTTTTTCAGCCAACTGGCTCTAATTTTCAGCTATAGGACAGAAAATCTCTAAAATATTTTGGTCTAGTTCCTCTCCGGATTGTAATATTAAACATATTATATGTATACCTGTCTGAATCAATCCTTCATCGATAATAGCAAGATGTGTGTCTGGTGTCTGCTCACCGATGCTCTGTCTGTCCGGCTCCGGTGACTCGTGTCCATCGGGAACAGCATTTTGTATGGAACCCACAGCCGCATTTTCCTCTTCATGAGTAAATACTGGTGATACATCACCTGGTGAAGAAAGTTACAAGAAATATATTACTGGCCATACTTAAGGGCTTCATTTTAAACTGTAATGGAAATATACTGGCCTATGGATTTGAAATGAGTAAAATATTAAAAATGGATATTTTAAAATAATACAGAAAAAATATTTTTGGTTTAATTTAAGAAGTGCGGCAGATTTTAATTGTACATATATATATATATAGGATTATCATTGCCAGCTTCTAGCTTCGCGCTTAAGAGGCTTATCCCCTTATAGCTCATTAGTAGAGCGAGCGTTTGACTAGGACCCTAGGGATCGTGGGTTTGATTCCCGATAGAAGCACACTACTCTCTTTCCTATCACAGAGGTATTAACAAAATGGTTGTCTGAAATTGGTACCTGTCGGTTTGGCCTTCTTAGTACTGGAATCTTTGCCATCGTTTTCATCGTCTAATGCACCTAAAACATATATATGTAACATTAACAATTGATATATATTCAAGGTAACATATCTCCCTAATGACATTTCTGATCAACAAGGTAGACACTTAGAACACGCAAAAACAACTAAAATCATGTTAATGAATTAGTTGGAAAGGGAGGTAATCCATAGATAAATATATAAATATAAACTTTATTTATTTTACGACAATTATAAAACAAGTTATTTCAACTTGTATGAATTAATCACTCTTGTTGGCCCAGTTGTTAGCGTGCAGGGGGTCTTATTGTGGGAGGAAACCGGAGTACCCGGAGAAAACCCACATGGTAGGGCAGGTGACCCCATACCTTTTCACATACGATCGCGATCGGGGAATCGAACCCTGGTCGCCATGGTGAAAGACAAGTGCGCTATCCACTGCACCACCCGACCACCCTACCAATCCATAGATAAGATCTAGCTACAATTTTAAGGACGATAATATATATATAGATATCAGATCATAATTCTAACATAATTCCCATTGGGGTAGTGATATGAAGAACATATTCGTGACGTCGTGACTATATGACGTCTCTTTGACCGACATCACTATATTTTGTGTATTTTTCTGTATTGACGTCAAGAAAAAGATTGTCGCAATACGCATTCCTCGTGGTAACCGATCTGTGCTACCTGATTAAAAAAAACAATTGATCAATGTTACTGCAACAATTTATGCAGCTATGTTGTATAAGAGGTGAATATCCTCACGGTGGAATACATTGACTAAATTGTTGAAATTAAATTGTTGTTTTTGTGTTTATTTCCACGAACTGTATTTTTTTGCCGGAAATGGTAGCGTGTACTCGCGACGTCACAAAATTTAGGTCCCATTGACAAAATAAGACAGCGTGAAAATCAAATTTGACTTTGAAATGCATGATTCAGAAGAATTATAAGAAAAACGGAAATATAAGCAGTACTTAACTGCCTTCTTTGGAAAGTTGTTGTCCTACAATTCTCACAGGATTTGTCTGCAATCCAGTGAGAATTATAGCACCCTTCAAATTAACTTAATTTCCAAAGATGGCAGTTTTATGCTTAAATATACACATGTTATTGATCAATATATATATCGATTAAAATATGAGAAAAATAAAAACAAGAAGAATTATGCTTGTACTGCAAATCAGCATGTCTATAGTCCTCAAAAGACCTACAATTATACCCGAAGTTAAAATGTTGATTTGCCTAATCATCTTACAATTATAATAATTATATATAAAGTGACGTATATATTTGTTAGGCTGTTTTTAAAGTTTTTAACTAAACTTACACAAAAAAATGATTGTATTCAAATAATGTCCTCAATTTATGAATTTACACTTTTTGTATACACTCCTACTTTTCAAATAGTTCATGTTTATGTGTATTCTATAAATAATTATCTGGTGTAATACTGATAAGGGGATGTCAGAGGAAAGAGTTCAGGCCTTAATTAGCTATCACTCACTAAAAGTGTTTGCTTGAACAATGTCTAGAGCGCATTAAACTAGAAAAAAACATATTTATAAAAGAAATATTTACAACAGAAATAAATGATGAGCAAAGCTGTTTACTATTTATGAGGAAGTCATGTTTATCCTTCCCGAGCCTCTCAAACGAATGACGTCATTAGTATTTTAAATTGCATTACTTCGATAGACAGTTAAAGAAGCTATTTTAAAATATGAGCATGGCAATTCTGAAATGTGACAATTCTTCAAAAACGTCGAAACACAAAATCAAAACACGTGAATATGAGAAACGTCGAATAACATATAGCTCGATTGGGTTGTTCCGCAAAATGCCCCATACGTCATCAGAACAGTCCAATATCTACAATGGGTAATGTGCGGTTTAAATAAAAACTCGTGCATGCACGTTTTGGGTAAATTCTGTGAATATTTTTTTTAATTAATTACAAACACATCCTAATATGACTATCTATAAAATATTCAAAGACATATACAGTCTTACTAATCCTACAATCCTATATTAACATGACCTTTTCCCTCGATTTTATCAATAGTGTACCAACCCGTCTTGTCGGACTGAAATTCCCTCGTTTTTTGACGGAAAATGACTCTATAATCAAAGAAATTATCATATTGGTTCTCTATTGTTTCACATTGTTTTCAATGTGCATGCATGTACGTATGCATACTTCATAAATCATCCTTCCTAAGGTTTCAACGCTTAAATATGGTTTACGGTGTTGCATATTTTTGACGAGCGGGGACGCGGGGTAACCCCTCGAGAAAGGTGTTTCCCCAGCAAACAATCAACAAACAATATTCTATGTGTATTGCTCATTGTCTTGCACCAAATAATATGGCAGCTGTATCACATGAAAATACACAATTCACATATTAAAATTACATACAAAATGGCAGATTTTGCATCGAATTAACTTACGTTTCATCGGTAAAGAAATTGTGGGTTTCCGACGTGGCATTTCCCAATGTGTCGCGGCATGGATATCCCTCCGGCTTACAACTCGGGATTTTCTTGGTTTAGCTCGCACAAATACCTACTTATTATCGTCTAGCTGATAGAAGTGAGGTTATAGCTATTCATGGTAATCAAATCTTCATCAATATTTACAAGTTTATAAGGTAAAACTGTAGGAATCCTCTTACAGATCACGGGGATTCTCAATAACACAGACATTTCATGACGTCATATCACCAGTGGTTTACAGCCCAGATCGAGGCTTCGGGTAAACCCGGCAACCCCGAAATAATTCATCGGAATAATGAAAACCGGACTTCATAAGTTGATGGATATTGTGGGAAATTCAATTGATAATGAGTCATAACTATGCCAACGTACTCTTACGATAAATGGAGATCGGGAATCACACGATGACATTTAACAACGTCTGCAGATCTACATAAAATTAGAATAAAAATAGGTAAATTTGCATATTTTGATAAATATTTATAAAGCATCAAAGCTTGATAGTTTTGCCATTTGAGGTTATCTTCATAAATTAAACATTGACTATACTAGTGAAAGTGGAATTCTTGTATGGTGCATACAAACTCCTTTATGTGACTGTTAGAATGTAGGAACTATTTGAAAATATACCATTAACCAGAGACGGTATAATACATTATTATACGTCTCTGCATTGACGTATATATATTACAGAGGGAGTGTTCTCAGTGCCATAGTTGTTCGGGCAACAACCTTTTTTTTTGTGTCCAAAAATTACCAGGACTAACGTTTTTGAACATTTCCCTCTCTAATACCATGGTTTCCCCTTGCCAGCAGCTATATATGTTCAAGTTCAAGTTCAATTTGTTTATTTAAGTGTCACATATCACAATTACATTTGTGTTCATTAATACATATAAAATACTTGTACAAAATATAAATCAATTCCATTGGTACATATAAAATACTTGCAGTTGGCTGTTTCCTAGAACTTAAAATAGTTTGCTTAACATAAAAAATAAAAAATAAAACACTTGTAATAGGGATCAATATCGACATTAGATTATTGTGAGACTACCCGTCTTATTATTATTAACATGTAGGTTGCAGTGACTCAAAGTGCGCTACCTTAGGGTTCGGGAGAGCCCTACCAGCGAAGACAGGTCGCTCTGCGGCACTGCAATCATACGATGTAACTTTAAAAATAAAATATATAAAAAAAATTATCAGTTTAAGAAAAAGGAATAACAGGTTAAAAGTAATTGAGAAATCGATTGGCTCCAAGCGGTTGGGGGGAGCTCTACCGGCGAGGGCTTCTCGAGGTCCCTTCTTAAGGTTACATTTAATAGTTTAAAACACGGTTAAAAGGGCAAAATTTTAGTATTGATCAATAATTAACAAATTAAATCATATTTCAAGGTCTATGACCTATGGTTATAACAGGTTAAAAGGATATTGAGAAAACGATTAGCTTCAAGCGGTTGGGCCAGTCCCTACCAGCGAGGGCTTTTCGAAGTCCCATCTCAAAGGTACATTTACAACTTTAAAACACGATAGAGAAAAATAAACTTTAAACATTGATCATTTCAAAGTTAAAGGGAGCTTACCCACTTGCCTAAGGGTGTTACCCAAAGTGATTGATTGATTGATTGATAGGTTTTACGTCCGCTTCACTACCGAGTAGTTCGGTTATCCAGCAGACGATGTTACCAAGTTGTACACAAGTTTTATTTTTACACTCACGCCACACGTATACGTGCGTAACAAGAGGTCACATATTACATAGTATACATTGATGGACAAAGTACACACATTATATGACACATGATACAATTTATACAATAACAACCCATTTCAATAATTCTTTTAGCTGACTTATTTTAGATATTAAGTAGCTTCATTACTCTTTTTACATTTACTTACTTTTGTTAAAAGTACCGTGTTATATATTGAGAACATTCCTTTCATTTTGATATAAGTTTGGTTGACAAAATAATAATTTGGTATATAAAGTTGTCTAAGAGCTACAACAGATACATTAATCCCCACCACAGTTATTACATAGGGGACATAACCTTTCCTCGCGTGGGACTCTATTCCATCTTCCTGTTTCTATAGGAAATTTTATATTTGATGTTCTAAATTTACATATTGCTTTTCGTTCATTACGATTAAGCTTTAAAAGATATGGTTCAATATTAAACTGATATTTGAATAAGGAGTAAACTTGCCCTCGCGAGGAGGGTTCAACATCATGAAACCATAATCTCTGCTTAATGATAGTTTTCAAGCATTGTCTATTAATTGTACAAGATATTTGGAAAGTCCATAAATTATTAAATCCAGTATGGTTTAAAATATCTCGTATCTACGTTAACCATTTAAAACTTAATACCGAATTCTGGTGCAAATTGTACATTACACTAGATAATTTCGATCCACCCGTTACCCAAACAAAGAGTCCACTACTTATACTCTAAACAATAGGGGATTAATCCTCCATTGTCTATATATATATATATTAGTTGGGTCAAGTGGTCAAGGCTCACCGGACTGTCTCTACCTAATCTTAATGTTATAATGCAGTGGCGGATCCAGAGGGGGTTTTGGGCTTCAGGAAACCCCCCCCCCCTGATAATTTTCTTTAAAAATCATGTATTTTCACCATTTTCCACAATTTTCCCCCACATGGAAACCCCCCCCAGGAAATTTGGAACCCCCCCCAGATAGGTCTCTGGATCCGCCACTGTAATGTCACGGTTTAGTGATCACCCTGTCAGATACAGATACAGATACAGAAGCTTTATTTTACGTCGAATATTATAAACATACAACATAAGCTACGAAGAGCTTGTATTTCGACAAACACATGTAAAGAAACAAAAAATACATAACAAGAAATTTACAAAATACACATACGTATTGAAACGTTAAACAGTAAAAATATGAAGCATATAAAGCATGTACAGCACATTTGCAGAAAAAATAAACATATGACAAAAGCATCAAATTTGTAAACTACAAAGCTGACAAAAAGCACAGAGCCCCAACTGTCAGTTGTGAGAGGACTATATATACCACCTGTTGGAATTAGGTATATAGGTAAAGTGTTATTTCAAAGGTAGAGTCCATTTCATGATAGATATACCTGTATTTTCACCGGCGGTTTCAAGTACACATAGTTACCAGGAGTGATTTATTATCATAATTAAAAAATATAAATTTCAAAAATTTCAAAGACAATGAAGCACCCTCCTTAGCATCACTTCATCGTGTGATTACTAACCAATGTTAGCATAAAAGCCTGGTGTGTACATCCTTTTCATTAGATGTTGCCCTTGTACATATGTATGTATACTATTTCACAATAAAAGACGAACAGTTAAATCCTAACTCATATTTATGACAAAATAAATTAATATTGAATTGCCAAAAAGCTCGTCTAAACTACATGTACATGTATAGATTCGCGCGTATTATCAGCTGAATCTACAGATAAGGGCTACTGTGTCCCCCGCACCACGCAGCAGCGGGGGAGTTATATATATATAGTATTAGCAGAGACGTATAAAACTTTTTTGAAATTGTCTAAAGAACAAAAACGAAGTTCGTGTTCTCCTGAAGCCAGAATCATTACCGATATATTCCCAGCCACGATGTGCAATCTTTCGATGTTTGGTGTTTTCTAAACTTAATAATTTAAGCTTACAATCAATGTAGCACTCCCAAACCGCATGGAAATCTCAGCTAGCTACGGGTTTAATATTACGTTGATTTTCGATGTTTTCTCATGGCATAATTATGTTTTGAACAGGAAAGGATTATTTAATGCAGCGAACCGTATATCCAATATGGCGCAGGTGAAGCGTAACTCGCGATATGACATCCGGTTACCAGTGACCAATGGTAAGGCCAAGAGCAAGTTGCCAATCTCTGTATTATACGTCTCTGGTATTAGCAGGTACAAAGCTAGCCAGGTGTTAACGACTTGTCAATAAATGATTTCTAAATTTGTGGTTAGGTATAACAGGGACGTATAGTGACAATATACTGTCCCTGGGTATAAACACCTGCACGTTAAGCATGCAAACATTATATTAATTGCATGGTTAACTAATTATGACATCTTTTATACCATTTTTGACAATCAAATAAATATAGTTTCAATATTTAAATCACAGGGAAACTCAAGTTTTAAATACACAGTTACAACATTACTTCATTGGCAGATTTTAAGTGTCGGTTGCTAGAACAACGAGACCACCGACTGACAATTTTGATTCATTATACCTACCTGAGAATAAGGACAATTCTTACCCATTGATCTTTCACCTGTGGTTACACGGGTTTCTGATGGGCTGTATCGCAAAATTAGACTAGACCGTAGTCCGTGGCTGTACCTAATGTTGGCCACCTTGTGTGAAGGCAATTCATTATACGTTTATTATTCCAGCTCCGTCTAGCAGGTATAACATGTATAACAGTACACAGTACGCATGCACCTACAGGTAAGATACTGTAGCTGACCCTTGGTCAGGAAATGACCGCCCGGGCTCACATTTATTCCACCACAGTGCTTTTCCTTTACGAATGTATGACATTCTACTTGGAATTACGTATTTTTATGCAAAAACGTTATTTAGGATATTTAAATTCTACCTGTGATAATTTGTTTTATTCTTTTGTAAATATAATTTTTTTTTCTTCTCAATATCAGATTGCTGATACACTTAGTTCTAATCAGGATATTTGTTATGACATTTGTAAGTAGTATTTTGGCATTCAGAAGATTATAATAAAATCAATCTTATTTTCATCTAATCATAACCGAGAAACCCATTCTGTATAGATGGAGTCAACACCTACAAGGAAATAGGACAGACGAGAGTATATACTGGAACATCAATGGACGACTTGTTTCAAAGTTATCAGATGCTTTATTCCTTAACGTTTTACGAACGTATGATATTGTCTGTTATGTAGATATACCGATCGCAGATTTCACGTGTAAATATCTTTCGAGACTTAAACAGGGAGGTGGAATGGCAATTTTTAAAAAAATCAAAACAATCTTGCAAATTATAAAAGTATTGTCAATATAAAACATAATACAATTGTATGGCTTACAATGGATCAATTTATAATGGAGTGTAAAAGTGATGTTTTTGTTTGTTGTACCTATATACCCCCAGATAAATAAGTTTTTATCGGCAATATAATTGCGACATATTCTATGTTC